AGGGTACGGGCAACCTCCAACGAGCCCGCATAGCCGCCCTCAAAAAAAACAGACATCAATTGCAAGCGGGGTATCCGATGTCTCTTGCCTGGCCGAGCGCGGAAGAGCAGCAGCCGCAGCCCCATGCGCAACGGCATTGGACGACGCCTTTGATCTGACATCCGAGTCTTCAGGCTCACGACATGCATTGGCGTCCGTTTAACGTAAAAAGGCCACGTTCACCTGAACCTTGCAATATTTGTGAGACAGAACCTCCGTCCGGCACGCATATTTTGCCGTCGCACCAGAAAGCGCTGCGGTACCCAAACTATTTGCACTTCCCGCATGTGTTGACGGCTTGTGTTGTGCACAATCCCTGATATTGAACGAGCCTCCACCACACGCAGAACACGTGCTGAAGGAGTCGCGTTGGGCTGACGCGGTGGAAATTGACGCGCTGTACGCATCGAAAGGTGTACAATGATTCGTTGTGGGCACCCACCAGCCATGCAAGAGCGTTGTTGAACACGTGAAGACAAACACGCGAACCTTCCCCGTTTCTAAGAAAACATCGACGATATGTATCACCCAACCACACGCAATTCCCCAAGAGGACTCTGACATACCAGGCCGACGCGTACGCGGCGCGAATCGCAAACGAGCTCGAGCACGAAACCGGCAGCGCGCTACATTGGCGGACCAGGTTAACGTAATGCTGCAATGGATCCGCCCTCGGTCTTCGAGGCCCAGGCCTGACTCACGCAACCCAGGGCCCACTGAGCCGCAAAAAATAAGGGCTACACTGAACGAATCAATGCATCCACACTTGGAGCCGGAAGCGCTATGCTACAGTACCCGTGCGAATCAAGAGAAGAGGAGGGAGGAGGAAGAGGAGGAGCGAGGGAGAAGGAAAATGAAAGAAAATACCCACACAGCAGCTCGCGCGTGCGTACATCGGCCTGGACAGATGGCCCTCGCACAGAGACCCTCGCGAGCACAATTGGGGGGGAGATGGAGGAAGAAGGAGGGAGGAAGCTTTTCCCGTCGCAGCGCGGTACAGGCGATTCGCACGCGCGTCGGGGCGAGACCGGGACACGGTATCGCGACTTAGCCCGCATGCAAGAGGAGGGGAGGGAAGGAGGGGGAGGAAGGAAACACGAGGCACACCGAATGGGGCAAAGCGCGCGGCCCGAAATCGAATATAAGCCCCCGACTCGGGGACAAGCCGTGGATGACCACGAACGGCCGACAAAGCACCGCGCTGATGGCGGGCAAGACGCGAAGCCAAGAAAGCAAATGCAAGCTTCCACTGACGACAACACTGAGGAATGAGAAGAAAGAGGAAGGAAGCGATGGCCTGCTTATCACCCGCGCTGCCGGCGGCGAGCCGTGCGGAGTAGCGATTCTGAGGCAGAGCGCCCGCGCGCGCCCTCCCGCAGCATGGCAGGAACTGCCCCCGCGGCCTCGACCACGTGCAGCGTCCCTGTGCGTACCGCGGCCTGCACGTGGCACACAGCATATACGGTGAGAGCTCGCAGCGGCCTGGCCCGCTCACGTGCGCCCGCACCGCCAGCCCTGCTCAGGGTCGAGGGCTCAAAGTTCAAGAAGCACGCCAGCTTGTCTATGGCACCTGGCGCCGGTCAGCCCGGCATGGACAGCGCAGAAGCGACTGTACGTCACACAGCGGCTATAATGCTCGATGCTGTCCTCGCCGCGCTGGCACCCAAGCAGGCACATGGCGCGCTGCTGGAAACGGCGCGCAGTGCACCAGCTGTTGAAGGCTGTCCGGACGAAGGTCGCTGCTACCCGCCGCGCGCCTCCAGCGCTCAGCGCCCAGCCGACAGCCACCAGCCTGGCAGGGCGCCGCCCCGGAGGAACAGCCAGCGGCCAGCGATCAAGACGTTCGCGAGCATGTGGGGGTGCCTCGGAAACGCCTGGGCGGAAGATCGCCACGGCCTGGCGCTGCCGGGTGCGCCTCGTTTCCTCGACCAAAGGGCCCACAGCCAGCAGGGAGATCGAGGCGCCCCTTCGAACGCACTGTCTGCCGAAAGCTCGTCCGCCACCTCGGCGAGCCTGGAAAGCGCGCGACTCCGTATCGAGAAGCACAGGAGGAGACTGACGTTGTCGGCGCCATGCAATCGCCCGAGCAACTGCTGGAGTCGGCTTCGCGCCTGGAGCCCACCATTCAGGCGGTCCTCGCATATATAAGTCCTGGCAGCGGCAGAGGTCGCGCACGAAGCCAAGGAAACGAACTCGCTACTCATGCCCAGCTCCGTGAACGACTGCAGAGCGCGCAAGCCGTGATCCAGTCCGATGGCCTGGGCACTAGCCGGAAGAGCGCCTGCGACTCCTGCTGCAGCACTTTCGCGGGGACATGCTCCAGCTGGGCCACAAACAAGAGCACGCTGACGATGCACACCGGTTTCGCAGCCGCCGCGAGGCGAAGTCCCGCGCCGATCGCCTTCCAGATCTCGACACACCCACAAAACTTCCTGAATGGAGTGCTCCATGAGAGCTCGCC